GAAGATTTCTGTGTCCTGGCTTCTGACACCCGTCAAAGTAATGGATATAACATAAATTCTCGATATGCTCCCAAGGCATTTAAATTGTAATTAATCCACTTACAGTGTTTCCAGTTGCACATTGAAGACTTGACACATAACCAATAAATTCGACAATAGATCCGAGAAAGCAGTATTGGCAATGAATGGATTTGCAGCCGATGGTGTCTCGTTGGTTAAAAGACTTGGTCAGAGAATGGAGGTTTGTTGCGTTCTTTGTTTTCTCGTTTGAATGCATTTTTTTTATTTGGTCAAATTATTAATCATTATTTTACACAGTGGTATAAGCATGCCCATGATAAAGAAATGTCAACTCCGGCATTGGCTCAGATGCTATCAAATACCTTGTACTATAGACGATTTTTCCCGTATTATACTTTCAGTTTGTTGGGAGGGGTCGATGAAAAGGGTAATTTAATTCAAAATCAATTTCGATGAATAAATATTTAAACTAAAACGACATATTTACATAGGTCAAGGCGTGGTATATAGTTTCGATCCAGTGGGCTCGTACAAACCAGAATTATATAGGGCTGGGGGATCCGCGGCTGCACTTATTCAACCGTTCTTAGATAATCAGGTAGGTTAGGTGAAAAGAAGATTTCGTCGCGTCTGGTTAACTTCTTTCTTTTCACGCATTCTTTCGATTATCACAATAGGTTGGGTTTAAAAATCAGCAGGGCGTGGAGAAACAATTTTTACCTTTGGACGCAGTGATTCGTATTGCAAGAGATGCCTTTACATCGGCGACAGAAAGAGATATTTACACTGGGGATTTATTAGAAATTTTCATTATCAGAAAAGATGGAATTACTGTAGATACTTATCCATTGAAAAGGGATTAATTATATAAAAGCAATTTTCTTTCAAATTGAGGTAAAATTTTGCCCCGAAAAACAGTAATCACCAAAAAGCAATCATGTTGGTTCCATTTTTATTCCACTCACTTTTTATTTCGTGATTGACATTCTTTGGAAAAACATGTTTTATTTACTCTCCTGTGAAATTGAACCTTGATTACATAATTTATTCTTTTTCTCAATACTATGTCATGTTTTATTAATTTTTTCATTATTCTGATTTCGTGGTACCGAGGAAAAAAAGGTTGGTTTCAACTTGTCTGTGGG